CATGGTGGGCCTCACTTCTCCAAGAACCCTGTACACATCCCTGGGCTATACAGATAAAGCACTACAGTGGTGCCCCGCTTGACGAGGATAATCCGTTCCAGCAAAATCACTGTAGAACGAAATCGTTGTCAAGTGAAAGTAAAAAACCCATTGAAATGCATTGAAAACTGGTTCAATACGTTCCAATGGGTGAAATACCTCAGCGTCCAGTAAAGATCCTCCATAGGGCGGCCATTTTCCAGTGCCTGTATAGCAAAGAATCCGTCCTAAAACAGGGGGGAACCATTTTGCACAGCGGGCGTCCATTTTGAAAACCCGACAATCAGCTGTTTTGATTATCGTTAAGCAAAAAATCGGTTCCCGAAGCAGGGAACCGATTGTCGTTAAACGAAAAAAAAACATACAAACATCGTTTTGCGATTGCTATAGCGATTGGAAAATACTCATCGTTAAGCTATTTCCTCATCTAACGAGGCAATTCTCAAGCGGGGCACCACTGTATATCAGTTATTACTGGTTAATCAGGAGCCGAAGTTATACCTATAGGGAATGACAGCCTCTGAATGAACCCAAGCATTTTTATCTGCCAAGGGTCTTGTACCTCCACCAACTCCCGAGTAGTAATTCAAGGGCAGGGAAAGACGGCCACCACTAGCACAGAACAGCAGGCACACAGTTAAAAGGCCTGGTTCTGCAAGAAGGTAGATGCTCCATAGTTGGGATTTCTCCAGCACATGACAGAAGATGATGGAAGTTCACCTCTCTTGCCCCAGAGAAAAAGAGAATGCCCTTGCATACCTCTCTCATACTCCTCTCGTAGCTGTCCCAGCTCCTGCCTCAAACTTTCGGCAGCCTCTTTGCTCCTCTGAAGGTCCTTGTAAGCCACTTCCAGCTGCCTCTCTGTGGCCTCCAGCTTCTGCCTCAAGTCCTGTTCCACCAGCACCTTGGCCTCTACTGCCTCCTGCAAGTTCTGTGATCTCTCCTTCATTTCCTGCAGGTCAGCTTCCACTGTAGAAGAGAAGGGGTGACAGTCACGGCCTACGGCAGCACCAAGCCGATCAGGATCCACCAGGAATGGTGAAATTTGTCAAGCTCATTGGGAGGCAGCCCACTTGATTCCCACAGTTAGTATTTGTTCTCACCACTTTTCACACTGATTCGCCAACCTTTCCTCAAACATCTGCATAATTTTCATGACATTTCTTCAAGCACAAGTCTCACAACTGGGAAAAGGTGGCTCTCAAAGCAGAACTGTGTTCAGTTTGTGCTTTGGTTCAATGTGAATTGGGTTAAGCTTTGTCCAAAATTAAGAATGGAACTAATCCTCCCTCCTCCAGCTCTCGAAAGACTGGGAAAACCTGGGTGTTTCCACACTAAATTTATGGGTGTCATCCCTAAGAGAGCAGGTGTTGTTCTGCATTCCAAGCAAATACTACTTTAGACTACAGGTAAAAGCTTCTGTGGAATAATTCTTACCCCTTCAAAACAAATATTCCCTCAACAGAGAAAACTAGAAAGGAAAGAAAAAGCTAAAACCAGCCTGTCTGATTTTCTATATGCAGGGAGTCTTGATTTGCAGGAAGGAGAATTCATTTATGCAGATGGAAGCAGCTATGTCACTGAGTGAAGTCTGGACTGAATCACCTCTTTCTCGTGCTTCAGCCACTTTCTTCTCTATGAGCTGAGCGCCACGCTTAAGCTGCAATGAGAGCTGGTCCCGTTCTTCATGCAGCATCTGCAGTTCAGCTTGCAGGTCTTCATAAGATGGCTGGACCCTGGGAATAAAGCCGTCAGAAACATCACATTTCAGGGTTACAAGAGTTACTGTGTCATCTGTGTATTTTCAGTTACGCCTCTGAACTATGCTTCCATACATACATATATATATATTTTGAGTGAACTGGGCAAAAAAGAGATACATGGGGATAAGCAAACTAATTCATGCCCAGCAGTCTGGGCTTGCCACTCTAAACCCACCAGACCAAAATGTCTTTCTGGAGCAAGCACAGACATCATTCTCAGTGTCTGCTTTTTCTGATAGCCACCAAATTCCCTGTAGAAAATTGCTGAGCCTGGACTGGCACTCAAAGGCCCTCTCAGGTATGGCGTCAAAGATGGTCATAGTCTGCACCTAATCCTTCTGTCGCCATTCCTGTACAGTCGTGCCCCGCTTAACGGTTACCCCGTATAACGATGAATCCACTTCACAACGATGTTTTTGAGATCGCAATTGCGATCGCAAAACAATGTTTTAATGGGCTTTTTTTTTGCTTCCCGGGAACCGATTCTTCGCATTACGACGATCAAAACAGCTGATCGTCGGGTTTTCAAAATGGCCGCCGGCTGCTCAAAATGGCTCCCCGCTGTGTTTTTGGACGGATTCCTCGCTTTACAGGCAGCGGAAATGGCCGCCCCTATGGACGATCTTCGCTGGACGGTGAGTTATTCAGCCCACTGGGATGCACTGAAAGTTTTCAATATGTTTCAATGGGCTTTTTTATTTCGCTTTACGATTTCGCTCTACAGCGATTTCGCTGGAACAAATTAACGTCGTTAAGTGAGGCACCACTGTATATAAAACAGGAATCCATAGCTCACCGGTTGAATGCAAGACAAATCTGAACCGCAGGAAGTTGCCTTTACACTGAATGAGACCATTGCTCCAGCTATCCCAATATCACCCACTGAGCTACAGTATCCTCCTTTTTCAAGAGGACATGTGAGTGATCAACATGTCCTCAAAAGGTGTGCCTTTCAGCCTCCCTGGGGATCAACAAGGGCTGAGCAGCGAGGCTACCCTCTAAATGCAAGTCCAATCAGCTGTACTCATAACAGCCAATGGGGAGGATGATGGGAGCTGTAGCTAAAGAATATTTTATAAGCCCATAGATGTCCATCTCTGGATGTGAGTTTTCAGCTTGCCTCTCCTGGTCTGATCTTGAGGTGCAAGTTTTCTCCTCTTGCTGAAGTCTCGCCAGAGCCATTTTCTGGCACACGAGCCCTAGAGGACAAAATGGTTCTGTTATCTACTGAGAGGAATACAAATTTTGCCATTAATCAAGAAGAGATTGTCTTGAGCAGCTAGCTGCTTTTACGCCATTTACGCTGGAATATTCAGGACACTTACATGAACATGCAATGTCCAAAAGAGATACATGCAAAAACAATTTTGGACGCCAGCATAATTATGAGCATCTCACTGAGTGCAGAATATAATGCAACACCAAGCTGAAACTCTGAATAACACCCCACATCTTTAGCTTTGTTAAAGTTTCTAACCTAGAACAGAGGAAACACTTGGAAGCACATCCATTATTTTCATTTTGGGAGAAAAATACAAGCCAAAACAATACCCCACTGTGTTTTTTTTTTTACAGTGGTAAGAAAGGAAGAATGACACTGCTGTATGTTCTTTTTCTGCACTGGGAGGGAGATATTCTCAAGACATTATACTGTCTTTCCTAATTCCATCAGATCCACATGAAATTTTTTTTGGCAGGAACTAGATGTTTGCAGAATGATCAGAAGTTATCTAAAGTGTACCAAGGCTTTCAGAATATCTGACTGGCCAGAATCCTGTTGTGAACATTTATGCTCCATTAGTCAGATGACAAGGTCATTTGCAGCCGTTTTTCGGGGAATTAAATATTTCCTATCTCCCCCATCTTCTTGCCCCCTGGTTCTGGGTATCCGTCCTCGGGAAGCCTTTGGGAGCCACAGAAATGGAGGTGGAGGACTCTAATGTCAGCAAATGGACCAGGACCAGCAATGGCAATTTTCTGACATTAAAAAGTCCCCTCCAATTGTGCAGGTGCAAAAGTCTAAGATCTCTATGGATCTTCAGAACCTTCAGGGGGGAGATAGGAAACATTTAATTCCCCCCAATGATGACACCATCAGAGCTAAGCAATTTAAAGTTGCAAAAAGGATTCTAGAGATGGTGTGTTTGGATATATGAACACCAGTCATGTATTGTATGTCTGTTGGCCACGTGGAGGTCACCTTAACTCAGAAGCAACTTGACAACATGCAACAACAACATAACAAGGGCCACGGAGGAGGGAATCTCTGTAGGGATGCCGGAGCAGCATAAAAAAATCACTTATAAAGAAAACCGAAGTCACACCCATTTCCAACTCTGAAGTTATTAATCCTACACAAATAGCTTTAGAGGAATGGAAATCCTGTTCTCCATCTGACACTGAAGAGTGGACAGTAAAACTTCCTCATACCACCATCTTCGAATGTGTGACTTGCGTACAGTGGAGTATATTATACAGTATTAATGTCACCTGTTATTTATTCAGAATATTTTTACCCGGCTTTTCTCCTTAAGAAGGATCCCAGGCGGCTTACATCATTAAAAGACAATAT